AGACTATAAGAACTACAAACAGCCTGGCTTCCAGAGGGCAGGGTTCTCACTCTGCCCGTTCCGCTCCGTACTGGAAACTAAGAACAGAGGTGGGGCACCATCCTTGAGCCGCAAGCAGCTGACAGACAGCCTCGCCTGGGTGGCTTTCCAGCTCTGACAGGCATGCATGGAGCGCCACTGTCCTCTTAATTCTTCGCCTTAATTCTTCCCTGGGAACTTGTTAGAAATGCAAATTTTCAAACCCTACCCCAGACCTCATGGGTCAGACTATTTGCAGGTCGAGTTTCAACAGTCTTGTAAAACAAGATTTCCAGGTGATTCCGATGCTTGCTTAAGTTTGAGAACTACTGAGATGGAGAATAGAAGAAGAACTAGGAGAACAGTTTCGTGGGAGAAAGATGATGAACTGGAGCTCGAATGTGTTGAGTTTGAGATGTCTGCAGGAACCTCTAGGTGGAGCTATCAAAGTGTGGGACCCAGGACCCACGGCATCAGAGTCACCTGAGAGCTTATTACAAATGCAGAATCAGAGGCCCACCAGACATTCTGAATCGGAAGCCAGAGTTTGACAAGATCCCCAGGCGATTTGATTCACATCACAGGTGAGAAGCAGGCTGTAGTCTAGAGGTTAATTGGGCACATGCTGTTGACTTTCAAGAGAGAGGTCTGGGCAGGAAATAGAAATATGGGTGCTGTCAGTTACAGATGATGGCTATAGATGACACATCTCCAAGGTTCCTGTGTAGAGTTAGGAGACTAGATGTCTTAGCTTGAATCATCACGCTGACTGATTAGGATTAATGTCACAAAGCTGTACAACATCACACATAATGAGCCCCTGGATTGCAGCCAGCCTGTTGAGAAGAAAATATTTTATGTGTTTATTACCCTTTCCAGAATGCTATTTGCAGCCATTATCTCAAGAAATAGCAATTTTTCCAGACACTCAGGTCATTGGAAGAACTGGGACCGGAACCTAGTGTCAGAACCCTTACTGTTGTGTTCTTGTCATTGAGCCACCCTGGAGGGGTGAGGACTCTGCATTTACTTACATTGTCAGGGCTGGAAATGTGAATAGGCAGAAAAAAACATCACACGTGATGATCAATAGATGTTCGTTGAAGTTGTTCGATAAAGGTTTATTAACGGTCATAGAAACGAATCATGGGAAACATGATAAAAATCACTTTCAGATTAAAAAGTATTTCATTCCTGTCAGTAACCTCAGTTTGATCTTTACAACATCGTTGTAAGTAGATAAGATGGAAACTATTCGTGGTCTCATTAAAAAAATAACAGCTTTATTGAGATGTAATGAAGACACCATAAAATTCACCATTAAAGTGTATAATTCAATGGTTTTTAGTATATTCACAAGGCTGTGTAACCATCATCCCTGTCTAATTACAGAACATTCCCATCACCCCAAAAAGAAATCCCGTACCCTTTAGCAGTGACTCCTTATTCTCCCCTCCCCCAGCCCCTGACAGCCACTAATCTACTTTCTATTTCTGGATTTGCCTGTTCTGGACATTTCATACAGATAGCCTTCTGTATCTGGTTTGTTTCACTTAGAATATATTAAAGGTTCATCTACATTATAGTATATATCAATACTTCATCCCTTTTATGGCTGAATAATAATCCATTCTGTGGAAATACTATATTTTGTTTATTCTCAGTTAATAGGCATTTGGGTTAAGTTTTTGTGTGGATACACGTTTTCATTTTTAGGATTGGAATTTCTGGGTCATATGGTAACACTACATTTCATTTTTTGAGGAACTTCCATGCAGTTTTCCAAAGTAATTTTACATTTCTACTAGGAACGCACGAGGGTGTAGTTTCTCTATATCCCCTCCAACACTTGTTATTACCTGTCCTTTTTATTATCACCATCCTAGTGGATGTACTCTCATTTTTTTAGGTAAGAAAATTGAGGGTGCACTATTTGTCAAAGTTTGTAGAGCTAGTAAATGGCCATGCCAGAAGTTTTTCTTTTAAGCAAATACTTGTATGATGCATGCTCTGTGCTAGGCATTATTTAAGTCTATTTGCTCTTATTAAGTTGTTTACTCTTTACAACAACCTGTAAGGAAGATACTGTTATCATTTTTATTTTTACATGCATACAGGGCCAGGAATGGGCCTAGGGTGAGGCCCTTAGGTGCAGAATTTAAGAAGACATCACTCTCAGGTTCTTCACTGGCCTCATCCTAGTCTTGGCCCTGTGTGAAGAGACTGAGGCATCAGAAGACTGAGTAACTTTCCCCAGGTTCAGTAATTAGTAAATGGCAGAGGTGGGATATAAACCCAGGAACTCTGGCTTTGGAGTCCAAGTCATTAACCACTTTGCTATGTATGCTAGCATGCATGTCTTTGATCTCCAAACCGGGCTTTTTCTGTTTCTTTCTTAAGGCTTCGCTTTCTGAAATTAGCCAGAGCTTTGATAAGTGGGGAAGACAAAGTAAAATTCCAGGAGATAAGAGGCCAAGCAGAACTAATCAATCTAACAGCCCCCTGGGCACCTACTGCAGGGACCCCTGGAACGGTTAACAGTTACTCTCAGCCACATCTGTGCTTATTATCCCAACTGTGCATAAATCTGCCCCGTTCATGTAGGCTGCTCTGCAAGTGGCCAGATGGACTCTGTCCTGGTGGGGAAGAGGCCATTCTGAACTGTCAGGATAATTAGTTCTGACTGGCTGTGAGGAAACACGTTCTCCTGGCCAAGTGGGGATGAATCTGCTGCTTGTCTGAGTGTTCCGAGTCAAGTATTCAGAAGTCACATCTCTCATAATCATACTCTAATTTGCTGTTCATTCTCTTTACTCTGGTTCTCAGAATAAGCTGGCCATTTATTTTTGAATCTTCATCTTGTGTGGGTTTTGAATGGTTCTCTGGCTTAGGCAGAGCCTCCCACAAGGCAGTGTGAATACAAAAATATACATTTGCACATGTGTGTGTTACCCGCCTCAGGAGTGATGGGCAGCCCTTGGAAAGTTGCTTACACAGGTCCTCAGCCAACAGCAGGTTCTCTGCCTCCT